TCACAAACCAAGATGTCCATGAGCAGCTTGCTTTCGTGTCTTGTCAGTGGAGCATGCCTCTTGCGCCAAGACTTGGCAGGAACATATACCCCATTGCCAACCCCATGGAACATGTGATTTCCCTCTTCCAAGAAGCAATATTGGATTCACGGTTTGCCAGGGTTGAACCCTGCAGTACATGCATTTCTCGAGCATAGAAAAAGACCCAAGAGCAGCTGTTCGCCTTATCAAGAGTCACAATGGAAAGGACTGATGAAGGACGTCCGTGCTTTTTTTCTCTCTGGTCAAACAAATATAATATGTTCATGTAGAAAGAGGAAGCTAAGAAAGGCAGCGCATCGTGGCAACTTGTACTCCAAGGCAACTTGGTCGAACAACGCAGTGCTGAACATACTACGTATCGTAAAATCGTGGGGTACTTGGAATGCTTCGTACAATACACTAGGTCCTCCAGTAGGGAGGCTAGAATAATTAATGGTACCCTTTTTCCTGTAGTCTATTTTAGTAGGGGAACCCTCCCCAACACAGGGCAAAAGGGCACTACTGGGGGACCTGGAGTCTCCATGACCCTTGAAAAATGGGGTCATGACACTAAACCTTGCGGTTGAGCGTAGGCCTTCCAGATCTCGGCCTTGTGGGCTTGACCCCCTTCCAAGGGTCATCAAACATGGGCGTATTCAAATAGCACAGGAAATGCAGCAGATGTCCAAAGGAAGCGATTGGCGAAGAGAACAGGGGGTGGAAAGACCTGGGAAACACATAGTATTCTACCACGAGTTTTGCGGGAAAAGGGAGCGGTACATGTTCCACCTGCTCAGTCGCCATCACACATGCTGTGCAACTGACTTTCCTTTCACATACCCCATTTTTAAGGGGTCATGGAGACTCTAGGTACACGTTCCCCAGCCAATGGCCGCAAGACCGGGAGCATCGGCTGGGGGTGTAGGACAGCTCGGAGTTCAGCGTGGCGTCGGTGCAAATCCTCGTTGATTTTTTTTGTGTGCCGGCGGCCAGCAGAAGAACCCGTCAGATCGTGAAGATCCTTCTAGGTCCCTATGGAAACTCGCGCCTGGAGAGGCAACGGACACGGATGGAGGTCAACTCATGCCGTGAAGGGTATCCAGCGCAAGTCACTATTGGCACCAATATACTTCTACGGGTGCCTTCTCCATTCTTTCTCGGGATCCTTCTTTCTAGAAAGCCTCCAGAATCCCAGGGAAAACGGATCCGGCTTTTGAAAAGAACGATGGTTGAAAAGAATGGGGAATCAAGCCCTAGAATCCTGAGCACCATTTTGTGGCCCCATTTAAATGCGGTGCAATATGACACGTGCAAAGATTGCTCTTACTTGACCTGAAGCATGATGCACTTCTTCGGAATCTAGAGCGTAACTCGATGAGGCTGAAGTGAACTCTGTGGTGGCAGTTCACAAACAAGCCCCCTAGTAACTCTGCACCAACTGAAAGCATAAATTAGCCAAGTGCCAATCCGAGATCACCTTCAAAGGTCGATTCGTTGAGGTTTGAAGTAGATTCTCCGAAAGGTCGGAGCATGCTTAAAACATAAGCCCAGGGGGTATAACACTTCCAGAACTCTCCCTGAAAGCTGCCCTGAACCACCCCAATGCTTCTTCTGACAAAGACCCCAAGGCTTTCGGCTACAAGTAGGAGGAAAATGCAATAACCAAACCCAGTCCAACAAATTAGCAGACGCCCTTCAAGGAGCCTTATGCCCATACAACATTTGTGAGTGGCAAGCCCACCTCAAACTCCCAGACCTGGCTGGGCCATTAGATCAGGCCAACGCTTTGAGCACTTCCACACCTTCCAACCACATTTTGTTCAAAACAAAAAGAACCTCCGCCTGATGTTCCCTACGTCTGCCAGGGCCAAGCTCACTTGGCAACTTGCCACTGAGGTCTGGGCTCCTTCATTCGTGCCACGTAGCTCTGCCTCAGAAACTCCCCAGCCATATGGCTCGGGGCAAAACTAAAGGCTTCTCCAGGGGTTGATTGAATATTGGTTCCCTTTTGATTCCATCCCAATCAACATCCCCCCAGACCGGCCAGAGATTCTTGTGTAATCCAATCTGGAGTCCCCATCTGCGGGGCTGTCAAAATCAGAGCCCTCTTTGTGTACCAGGCTGTCATTTCTTCCAGGCTGGCCAATACGAAAAAATCAACCCCCAAACCGGGTCATTACAAGGATCAAGCAAAACCCGGCAGAAAGTTGATCCTGGTACCCTTCGACTACACAGCTGCTCACCTAATTTCCTCCAACCCGGTTGATTCCTTTGACTTGTTGGTAAAGTCCTGCTGCTCTCCGCCCTTTTGCTTCTGGTTCTGATTTTCTTTAATTCTGCTGGTTCCTTTTTGAAAGCAGCAAAACACACACAAAAAAAAAAAACAGGGCGGTGGGGCCCGGGCAAGCTGATCAAGCCATGCTCGGGTCCCACTTCGCAGGAGGTCGCCTGCCGATCTGACCGGCAAGCGGTGTGGGCGGTGCGGGGTGGGGCGGGGGTGGGATAGGGGTGGGATTGGGTGGGGCCCAAACGAGACCAGCAAACCGTTTTGAAGATTGTCCTGTAATTCAGACTCATCCCTCTAGGGCAAGGATCAGGATGACGTGATCATGCAACCGGTCTCTTTCGAACAAACAAGCAAACTGACTAGCATGTACGGACTGTGACCCACACACCAAAAGTGCAGCGTGGAAGGGTCAAGCCTGACATGATAGGCGTGAGGAAGAGCACCTTGTTTGCTTCAAGCAAAGTTGCCCCCACCCACCCACCCACCCACCCACCCAGCCGCCCGCCCGCCCGCGCGCCCGCCCGCCCGCCCGCCCGCCCGCCCACCCACCCACCCACCCACCCACACACCCACCCACGCACCCACACACCCACACAACCGAACCCACGCACGGACACACAAACACGTACACGCTGCTGCCGGCCGTCAGTTGGAGTGTGGTACTGTGAAGCCTTTCCTGCCTCTGCGGACAAAGTCGCGCAGTTGCTCATGTAGACCTCAAACAAGGCAGGGTGGAGCAAGATCCGGGCAGTCCAAAGCCAGGTGGTGCCAAAAACAAGGAACCATGCCGTAGATGGGCTAGACAAAAACAGGAACATCAAACCAACCATTCAAAGGGGCCCATGGAACTATAACATCACCTACTCAATACAGCCGTGTCTGCCATGTCTGCAAGTGTACGGAAAGGCACACTCGGAATGCGTCTTGAAGCCTTGTGCCTGCATTCCAAAAGTAGGGCCTTGAATCAGAGAATGCTTTGGGGCTACTTGAAACGACGCAAGGTGCCAAACATGTTCATCACCCATTACATAGCCATATATATATATATATATATACATATATATATATGTATGTATATGTAGTATTATGTTAAAGAGTGCAGCCTCAAGTTGACTTTCCTTGCTTTGATCCCCACAAGAGGGTACGAAGCTCGAACATCAAGATCAAATGCCTTCCGGATCTTTAGCACGTTCCCGAATCATAGCAGGAGAAATGCTGAATTCGAGGTTCGCGCCCAGTCGCCGGTAGTGCCGTCGGCATAGGATTCGGCCACCTGCCCCACTCAAGAGGCATCTACAGCACCAGGATGCTTGCACTCACCTGTCCCAAGAATTTGGAATTCACTGGATGCCTTACCTTTTGGGCCCAAGACTCAACATGGACAACATCTAGAAAACCGAACGAGACCATGACCAAATATGGAGAACAAGGTGAACAGGTATTCGTTCAACTAAGCAGTGAGTTAATGTATGCACCAGGAAGATAACAGGTGGTGAGCATGGCCGAATACACTCATCCCAATGATCTATTGGTTCACGCCTATAAAGGTGCAAACAACCACATGCACAAAACCGGCAGAAGGAAAGCCACGGATTAGACATTGGAGCCTGCAGGCTTGGGCGAGGCGGCTGTCAATCAGAATCATGCGGCTCCCCTTTGTCAACTTAGCGCCATAAGATCGACCGCTTGAAAGCCCCCAGCAGCGGCTAGCTTGATGCTCAGGGTAACCAGTGGAAGACATATCCATGACTCAGACTCAAAACAGAATGCCGATATAGGTTGAGTGCCCATCCTGCCAACCCGCCTCGAAATCTTCAACAACGAGAACACGACTCAGGTGGTATGCTGGGCACCCCGAACAACTTGGGGTAGAGCAACAAGTGCGTGAAAGGCGCCGAAAAAACGTCCCTCCTGTTCCCTCAGGCGGACCACTTTGTTGCCGCTGTCCGAAACCGCGCCAAAGGAGTCTATAGTCTTTGTGACAAGTTGGCCGCCAATTCCGGACGAGCCCAATCCCGCAAGCTCCTTGGAATGGGCAGAAAGCTCGGGCTTCCAGATCTTTCGTGTTCGGACGTGGCCCAGCAACGCATCAAACCACGAGTCCGGAATGGGAGGGCTGCCAATGGCAGAGTATTTGCGCACATCGCGCTGAAGATTGGGCCTACGTTTGATTCCCATCGACGTGCTCGAGTTCTTGACAGCTGCTCATATCCCTTGTCTGGCTCAGTTTCGTGCCAATGGGAGTCTTGCTATGCCCTGCACTTGCGTTTTGGGAATCAAACGAAATACCAATTCATAACACCAGAGTCAAAGTGCCGGTGGAAGCATGCTTGAGCCTCTTCAGCTCAGGCATGTGCTGACGGGACGTACTCCGTTAGAAACCAACAAACATCTGCAAGTGATCTGCAACTAGGAAGCTCCATGGTGGGTTGCATGGACACCTCCAGTGGAAGCTCTCTCTACAAGAACCGGGATCTACAAGAAGTCCTCCTTTCTGCAGGCGTTTGCAACCACATTTGCCGTCTGTGATCGATGTCCGCCCCAAAATGTGAGAGAGCAACTGCTACTTGACCTGCAGAAGAACGTATGTGGGGGCGGGGCGGGGGACGGTGTTTTACCGTGCTGACAACCACCCTGACATCTTAATGAAAAGGAAAGCCCCACTTTCCGTCTTGGATAGCCCATCATAAAAGCCCCAGTCACCGGTGTGTTTTTTTCTTGAGTGTGGCCCAAGGTCAGATTTCGGGGCCCTGGAGGGAGGGGAGGGGGAGGGAGCCCAAAAGCCTTTTGGGCTTAACAAGGCCCTACTTTGGCTCCCTCCCACCCAGCCCTGCGCATTCTCACTGGAGCCCAAAGCCCTCAGAATTCTCGATGGCTAGCAGCAGCAACTGCCTGGCCATGGCCCTGCTACGCTGGAGATATGGAAGCTAGCCCCAAAATGGGTGGCGTCCCGTGGTATCCCTTTGAAGTGACACCAAAAACGGTTTGTTAAAAAATAAGACGCCCATGTGTCTTGAGAACAAGGACGCCCAGGATCGCCCATGTCTCGAGACTTCCGGCCGCAATGATGGTTTGGCGGATGGATCTCGTGCATGTTCAAGAAGTCCATAGATGCCAATTGTTTCAGTATAGGAAGTGTTCATTGACAGATCCGAGCCACCCAATGACACTATCTTTAAAAAATGCTTCGGCCTTGAAAGAGTAGATCCCAAACAACCACACATCAGCAACCTGAACGATGTCCAATCCACCAACCCAAAACTGCGATCCCTTCAACAAAGTACTTCATGCGAATGTTGCTTGATCCCCGGCAAAAAACAATACAAGGATCCTTCCACTCTCAACATTCGGGGCCGCTTCCGAAGCCTGCTCGTTTTGTTGTGAGTTGTCGCAGCGCTCTGATCACAGCAATGCTTGCAATCTAACCTTGTGGACACAAATCTATTGGCGCCGACCACATTCTGGGCGGGTTCTTTGATGATACCCTTCTTGGGCTTGGTGTAAAGAGAAACCTCAAGTCGGAAGAGCCAAGCCATGGGACCAGAAAGGAATACAGCCAGGATCCCATGTACATCCAACCAAAACTTGCAGGCCCTTGGGGTCCCGAGGATCGCGTTTCTCTGTTCATAATTATAATTGTAATATCCCCCCCACTGACATAGCGCCTGCCACCTTTGTGCCATGTTGGCGGGCAAGGGTACAAGGGACATGATGCCCTCTACCTACCATGGCAACGCGAAGCACTGGGCTCCGCAGGGACCACAAGATCTGCTATGTGTTTCTTGATCATATCGGTGAACAACGAACAACTACCAACAACAACCAACAACAACAACCAACAACAACCAACAACAACCAAAAGCAACCAAGAACAGCCAATAAGAACAACAAATGAAGGTAAAGTTTACCAGGTAAAGCAATCCTTTGGGCCCGCCAGTCAAGCTCCGCAGGGCTGACTCCATCTTGTTCGCCGACTCGTAGCGCGGCAGCAGCCTTTAGCAGGCCAACGGCTAAGATCGCACACACAGCCGCGCACAGAGCACAGAGCCATGCCCGTTGAAAGAGCTGGCAGAAATGGTAAGGTGGTGTTACAAGAGATTGCAAGCTGTGTGATTGACAGCTTGTCGATTTATTCAACAGCAGTTCATCCTAGATACCATCAAGCAATATAAAGCTGGCTGCCGTCCAAAAGGTGAGGACGCGAACGGTTGTGTAGTTCTTCCCATTTGAGCCCCAAACATCGATCTGCCACAGGTCACAATATGCTCACCGTCTGCGACTGGATGTTCCACTGAAAAGATTCCTTCAAGTGAGTATCAAAGTACCAGATTAAAAAACGGAATAATTATATGTACCAACGCTTCCCTGTAGGGATACCCCAGTCCACTTTCAGCCTTAGAAATCATCCGCCATAAACACGCCACTCGCTTGCATTCCGGTCCGACACCAAGAGAATCAATCGCCATGCAGGCGAATGCTTTGCGAAACCTTGACCAAAACGTGCCAAAACTGGAAACCCAAAGGGGCCACAAGGTCAGTAGAGATTCATAAACGCAAGTTCCCGAAAACTTTGCTAGGGGCTCAATACAGCCCAAAAGCAGGCCCTGACCTGCGAGTACCTAGCTCCGAGGTCCACTTCTTTGGATGCGGAAAACAGCCGCGGTCCCATGTATTTGGGTAACCAGACCATTCGGTGAGTAGACGACCGTAGACGATGGCACTTCAAGACTCGGCTCCGTGGCTTGCCAAGTGGCAGCAGGTTGAAGCAGGTCTGGGCCGTGGGGAGTCGATTCGTCGGCTCCACCCCATGTTTCTGCACCTCAGGCTTGCTTTCGGCTGTCCACGGGAAGGCGAGAGCTCCTCATTGCTTCATGAGCAAACCCGACAGCAACTATACATGGAAAAGGGCCCCTCTGGGCAGAATTGCTTCCAGGAAAGGGGTCGACAGGAACAGCAAGTTGTCAAATGATGACTTTTTGAGGGACCCCCTTTATAGCGACGCCAAATGTTACCTTGGTCCCAAGAAGCCAAGAAGAGCCTTTTGTTGACAACTTGGCTGATGTTGGGTCCTGCTACAAAGTCTGGTCTTGCGGTCATGATTTCAATCCAGCTGAGATGATGATCATCGTGCGGAATGCAACTCAGGGACACGTGTTAAGTTCTCCCCTTGAAAGCATCCCTTTCTCCGAGTGCTCCAGAATCGGGCACTTGCCACATGCCAAGCAGCAATACCGCAACTTCAAGTTCGAGAAAGCGTCAATGGATCGCAACCACAACTGCTCGCAGAAGGCCCCTTGAAACTGCTCAAGGTAAAAGCAAAACAGGCTGCGAAGGACTCCAAACACGAGATCGATGTTGAAAGTCTGAGCTAGCCATCTTTGACGCGCTTCATATGCCGTTCTCAGCCGATTTCTGAGTGCCTCTGCAGTTGAGCAAGCTATGAAGCAAACTAACATGTCAAAGATATAAGACATGGGCCTTCCGAGCACTTCCGCCCATGTTCAAGTATCTTCAATCATCTGTGTGGGTCGCAACTTGCCGACCAGAATCCCAGAAATGGATGCAGTGCCACCTCTCCAGTGCAATTACTATGTGCCAATTTACGCAAGGAGCAAATGCGTGCTTGAGGCTCTGCTGAAATTGGAACCCTACCCCATTTGGATGCGTTGCTTTGGTGTCGCAGAGATAACAACAGTTTTAACTTGCCTGCTGCTAAACAAGCTCCCCTGCTTCAAAACACCCTACGATAAGGGGGCGTCTGTGGGGTAAAACTAGCGGGCTGAGGCAAATCAACAACCATCTGTTCTTTAGTAGGTTCTTTCACCGATGGAGCATGAGCCGAAGGAAGATCACGCCGAAATCAAAAGATTCCGTGTCCCATTTTAGAGGGGCTCGCCAGGTCTATTCATCCGGGGTCATTGGTTTCGCTCTCACACCGAAAGGATCCAAGTAACGTCGGCAGAGCTTCGAGCCCTTCAGATCATTCAAACCCATCCTCACAAGGTTCCAACAAACCCTCTGATGGTAGCAAAATTGCAAATAAATCAACTACAATGGAAACCAGTGCCGGAGCAAATGTTTTCGGCGGGTAAGGAAAGCCAGCAAACTCTCTTTCTGCAGGGCGCTATCATCGTCACCTCCTTTAAGCCGCCCAGAGGAGCGCGGTCGGTCCCCGTAGTGAAGCACAGGAACCTGGCAAAGCGTAGCAGGTTTCGTGGTGCCCCTGGTGGCCTTTTGAAGCAATACATCCTCATGGCTCCTTGCGAGGAAACTACGCGGCCATGGGAAACATGCCCCAAGATCCTTCCAACCTCTCAGAACAAAATGGCAGTGGGTCAAATAAGAGGTACCCAAAATGGAACCTTTGTAATGTCAGTGCATTAGTAAGCCTCCGGATGAAAGGTGTCCGCTGTTCCCTCCATGATTCCCAGCAATACTAAAGTAAAGGGCCAACAAGGTTTGCACAAAAAGACCTAGCCAATCATTTGTTGGGCCTCCGCAAAACCCTGCGCTTGACGGTACCCCCCTGCAACCCCCAAGCCAACAAACCTGCCAGAAAAGGGGCTTTTCCCTTTTTGCTTGGTATTCGCACGGTCTGCGCTTAAACCCACCAAAGCGCTTAAGCCCACCAATACCAAACTACCAATAAGCCCCAAGTTTGCCCAAAAAATGTGCTTCCGCCAGAATGCATCTTGAGTATTTAACAAAGGGGACCCCTTGGAGGCCAGCCCACCCACAGCAAGCGATTAATCAAGGCCCTTCTGGGCTCAAAGCACGAAACACTTGTTGCTATTCTAATAGTCCTATTGCCCAGAAGGGGCCAAAAAGGCAAGGACCGGAGAGGTTCTCCAGGTTCCTGTTTCCAGTTCAATTGGCTGGAAAGGGGCCAGAAGCGAAAGGACGCGGACCGAAAGGGCTCCAGATTAATTGGGGGGGGTCCTCCCGAATGTATCAGTTTTGGGGGCATGTCCAAACCTTGTTGACCTTGAAGGGGGTTGGGGGGGTTGGGGGGCTTCACTAATCATGGGCAACCACTATGGGCATTCAAAATCCTGGGCTCGCCCCCTAAGAGTCCCGGCGGTTTCTTGCGAGGAAACGAATCATGCCGTACGCGACATATCTCAGAAACCTACGATCACAGGATCCCAGGATCGAAAACCCCTACCCAAGCTGAGCCTTAGTGAGACTGAGTGAGCCTTACCGAGACTCACTCAACATGAAGGGTTTTTGAGCACTGAAGTGCTTAGTGTTCCGAATCCAAGCCCTGACGTGCCCTGGCAAGCCAAGGATTGCAGTAATTGGAGTGGAAATAAGTTTTCTCAGTTTGGGAGGGGGGGCTTGGGTAGGGGGGATAGGGGCCACTAACCGCCTCCTATGTCCACTATAACGTGGGACAAACTAAGTGACCACAGGCTGACCACAATCCTGAGGGTCTTGGACAGGGGCCTTGATAGCTGCATGATCTCCATTTGATCCTGTGAAGCCAAACGTCCGCAGGCCCTCGAGCTACTCCGTTGCCCGCAATGCACCCTAAAATCAGGGACTCTCTTTTGGAAGCTGTTCAAAAGGAAGCCACAGAACACGTCTTGGTCAACGTTCAACCCTAAACCTGGGCAGGATTTGGATGCTGTATTTGCTCATCAGTTTTGTCAATGGCAGCGATGTGTACAAGATGTTACCAAACCTTGACCTAGACGTACTGCACCATGTTCAAGGCTTACCTGCCTGTTGGAAACACCGTGGTTTGACTGTTGACCCCCACTGTGAGAAATGGAGGGACTCGCCCACAAAAGCGCAGAGGCGTTCCCTCGTTGAATTCCCACAAGGTCTTCACGTCAACGGGCACAGGAAAGGAGAGGCTTCTCTGAACGAAGCGCCACCACTTCTCACGAACAACGCCATTTGAGTGGCGGACTTCTTCAACTGCTCAACGTCGAAGGACTCCAGGATCTTCCAGAAGTCCTGGCGAATGCATCCACAAGCTGGGCGGATCTACTCTTTAAGTCAGTTTTAACGTTCAACGAATCAGCCCGCCAAAGGGGAAGTTCATGCCAGTTGCCCAAAAGGCGAAGTTTGAACCACCCCGAAAGGGGAATCTACGGATGCCGGATCGATCCAGCCGGTGTCTGGATCAATTTGGAGTCCAGATGGCTGGCTGGCTGGCTGGCCGGCCGGCTGGCCGGCTGGCTGGCCGGTTGGTTGGTTGCTTGGGTTGATTCCCAAGTTGCAGAAGACTGCACCTGGTGTGCCAACAAAGTATGGACCTTCGTCATCCTTCCCATTCGAACAACGCATCAACCGGCAGGTGCATCTGTGGCAATCAGCTCGTGTCCTGTCTAGTGGGTCCAAATGGGACATCTCATCCTTTTTTGTATCGGCCCTGGGCCACTGCTTGGCTCGAAATTGATGGCCCAGATGCGTTGCCGCTTGGGGAGATCAAAAGCGACCACCCCGCAGTGCCGCCACAGGAATTCACTTCACAATCCAAGCAAGCCGATGGGATGTAACCCTGACCTGGGCCTTGAGCTTCTCATGGGTGTCTGTGCCCCTGTGAGGGTTCCCTTTTCACCTTGGTGTGCAGGAAAACCAAAAAGGAAAACCTCCTAATGTCTGGGGTCCTATTGTTACACGCACCCCAACCTCCGACCCCTGCCCGCTTTTCTGGGGATGCAGTCCGGCGCCACTCGAACCTCTTTAACATCGCTTCTTGTTGATCGATTCCCTGCCCTCCCAAAGGGGAGCAAGATCAAGGCAGCCCACAAACAAGCATGCTCACTCAACCGAATGAGTCTGAACTGCAACTAATCTCTGAATTTTATCCTGGCCAATTGCTTTTCAAAGCCCAGATTCAATAGACCCTGAGCTGAAGGGCTGAGGACCCTTTGGACTGAACCTTTGCCCGGGTTGCTACCGGGGAGATCGTGTTCCAAAAGCGTCAGCCGGTGGCCAGAGAGACATGTAATAAATGTCCGGTCGAACCAGAGGGGTTGCCTCGAAATGGGCAGAACTCCTAGGGTAAAATATGAGAAGCTGGGGGCTTATCAATCCAAAGCAACCAGCAAGCTAGAGATTGGCTGGGAACGGAAGCTACGAGGCCTCCGGCACCTCACAGATGTGCGCATAAAGGTCCAAAACGAGAGGCTCAAATCAAAGCACATACATCTCCAGTGCTCGATCCGGTTGTCATTTCACCTGACCTTTTTGGAGAGTTCCTGTTTCTCTCACATTGCAATGCGAGCTGACCATCTTGCCCATCTTGCCATCAGAAAACGAGAGGGGACCACGAGAAACCGATGCCCCTCAACCTGCAAAACGGATCGGGAACCGCCCAAAACCGATACTGATATCCTGACTTTGCTCATGTAGGCCAGCCCCCGTTCATTCCAACAGGCCCACCCCGGCCTCAACGTAGGGATCCTCTTTGGAGTATCCTGATCGGTCCAACGAGTGAGGGTGAGGCAATTCATTCCAGCCAACACGATCCGGACGGAACACGCACAGCTTGTCACAAGCAATCTTGCTGGTTCGATAGGCAGCGAATGAGAAATGGAATCCCCCCAAAAAAACAATCCCCTATGGTTTCCTTTCAGGGAATTCCTAGGTTCATTCCCAACACCCTGGGTCATTCCCTACTAAGCACCGGCAAGCAATTGATGGAACATGAGCAAACAACTCTTGGAACTAACCGCCTGCCCCAGAGCCATGCACCACAGGCATGATGCAATGCAATTCTATTTGGGCTGCGCAAAGGGAGCTTACACTGTCCTCAACTTTTTCGTGACGTGCAATGCTTCCCCCACCTTTGCCCAGGGATCCTTCACCTTGCCCAGGGATCCTTTTGCGAAAATAGCAAACAGCGCGGAGATGTTGTTTTGAGATTGAATCGATTACCAAACTGTCGTTGCCAAGGCAAGTAGCAGTTGCCGTGCGGAACCCAAGTACTTCAAGTCCTGATAACTGCATTGATTGCATGCCACCTGGTCATGACCCCAGATGATCACACCCGGATGCGGTCAAGCTAAACTCTATGGACATGGATCAATTTAAGCCTCAAGTTTTCTCTGTGGAACAATTCGAAAGTGTCTCTTCCGGTGCACCAAAAACTACTGAATTGTGTGACCAAGCCTTGCATGGATGTGTGTCGTCGTTTGCTTGGGGACCCAAGTTGTAATTGCGTTCTTGCTGCTGCCCTTCACATTGAATCTGCACGGAGCTCTTCGTTGACTATCAGGCCCACCGGTCTTTCGTTGCCCTCTGCAAAACCAACACGTGCGGAAGCAAGTTGCAGCCAGCATTGCGCTTCTGTCCGTGCACGTGCTGAAAGCTTGCCTGGGACTCTGCATGCCTTGGCTGTTTCTAAATTCCGCCTCCTCAAACGCAAGCAATTGGAGAGGTTACCACCCAAGCTTTCAGAATGCGTAAAATGCCATAAGCCTACCCTTCCACCAACAAGGTTCCCTGCAAACAACCCAATTCTGGGAAGATGTAGGTAGCAGCTTGTGTCCTCTTCAAACATCACCCAACCCAAAGGAACCTAATCCTAACATTGTCAAACTGCTTGAATCACCGAACAAGGGAAAATTCAGGACTCGCGCAAAACTCGCCTTAGACCTTCAGATCCGGCTGCAGCTCAATGCTGAGCTGCCGTGTACCATTTGTCCAATCATGGAAACGGCTCCCAAAAGGGGAGTCTTCCAAAACCCCGATCTGGAAAAAACAGAAGCAAGCACTGGGTCCATGAAAGCGGCATCTACCAAAAAAGACAACCTCTGAACGGTTTAAAGAAGCTACCCAAAAGCAGCTTTCAGAGCTTCAAATTACGCAACCGCTTGATGAAACCCAAAACTCCCTCTACCAAAATACCCTCTAAAATGGTTTAAAGACGCTACCCTCCAAAAGTAGCCTGCAATAAATCTAGGGGTACCTTCCCCATTCTTTCCAGGATCCTTCTTTCTAGAAAACCTCCGGAAACCCGGGGAAAACGGCCGGTTTTTGGAAAGAACGATGGCTGAAAATAATGGAATCAGAATCAACATGTTCAAGAACCCTCGATATTACACATAACTAAAGAACCTTTCGTTGGTAAGGCATATACCTACTGTGGATGGACGAAATCCTGCACCACCTAAGAAACCCTGAAATGATGATTCACCCCTAAATACCAACAAACAATGGTTTCTCATGGTTTCAAAGTGGCGCGAAATGGATTTTGTCCATCCACAGTAGCATAAAAATAACCCTCGAAGTGGCTGACAGAAGCCTCCGGCCCGGCTCCGGCCTTCGTACTTCGCGAGGTGCCGCAGCTCCGCCGCCGCGAGCCTCGGCTCGGAGCAGACGATGAGGTGCGCCTCCTCCGCCGTGAGGAAGGACCACAGCGCCTGAGGTAGAACCAGCGCCGGAAAGCGCCGGATGTAAAACCAACTTGGGCTCAGGGAAACATAATAATATATATATATATATATATGTTATAATATATATATATATATATATGTATATGGTATAATATATATATATATATTATAACATATATATATATATATATAGACAGATATATATATATATATATATATATCCGCCGACATTGCTCGGCGTGTCGGACACCTAAGAGAGGATAAGGATAACCCCCCCCCTAACCCCCCCCCGCCCGACGTCTATTACGTAGGTTTTTGGGGGGGGGGGCCCCCACGTACCGCGCGGCAATTTGATGACGTTCCACTAAACGTAGTCTTCGGGGAGCCGGTGTCGCAAAACAGGGGTCCCAGGCTCGATTCCCCCTGCCGGCTTTTTTGCTGGCTTGGGCTTCCTGCATCCTTTTGCCGAAAATCTGGCAAAACTCTGTGTTTTTGGACATCCTCTTTGCGAAAACGCGGGAAAAACCGTGTATTTTGCGGGAAATACTGGGGAGCAAAGGGGAAGTGCAAGGATACATACATACATACATACAGACAGACAGACAGACCTACATACATGCATTACATACATGCATACATTACATTACATTGCATTGCATTACATTACATTACATTACATTACATTACATTACATTACATTACATTACATACATACATTACATTACATTACTTTACATTACATTACATTACATTACATACATACATACGTACATACGTACATACATACATACATACATACAGACAGACGGACCTACATACATACATTACATACAGACATACTTGACATTACATTGCATTACATTACATTACCTTACCTTACATTGCATTACATTACATTACATTGCATACATACATACATTACATACATTACATCATACATACATTACATACATACATTAACATACATACATACATACATACATACATACATACATACATACATACTTACATACATACATACATACATACATACATACATACATACATACATTACATACATACATACATACCTACCTACCTTACATTACATTACATTACATTACATTACATTACATTACATGACATGACATTACATTACATTACATTACATTACATACATACACACATTACAGTACATTACATTACATTGCATTGCATTACATTACATTACATTACATTACATTACATTACATACAACATACATACATACATCCATTACATACATTACATACATTACATACATTACATACATTACATACATACATACATACATACATACATACGCACGTACGTACGTACATACATACATACATACATGCATACATACATACATACATACATTACATACATACATAACATACATACATACATACATACATACATACATACATACATACATGCATACATACATACATACATACTTACATTACATTACATTACATTACATTACATTGCATTGCATTACATTACATACATACGTACATACATACATGCATACATTACATTAATTACATACATACATACATACATCCATACATTACATACATACATACATACATACATACATTACATACATACATTACATTACATTACATTACATACATGCATTACATACATACATTACATTACATTACAATACATTACATACATGCATGCATGCATTACATACATGCATGCATGCATGCATGCATGCATACATACATACTTACATACATACATACATACATACATACATACATACATGCATACATACGTACATACATACATTGCATACATTGCATACATACATACATACATACATACATACATACATACATACATACATACATACATACATACATACATACATACATTACATACCTACCATACATACACAAATACATACATACATACATACATGCATACAGGAATACATTACATGCATACATACATACATACATACATATATACATACATACATACATACATACATACATTACATTACATTACATTACATTACATCACATCACATCACATTACATTACATTACATTACATTACATACATGCATACATTACATACATACACATATACATGCATGCATACATACATACATACGAGAGAGGGAGATTGGGGAGAGAGTGGCTTGGGGGGATGAACACACCAGGGAGACAAGGGAGAGAGGAAGCAGGAGAAAAGGGAGAGGACAATGTCGGCGGACTGAGCCGGAGGCTCTAAAGTAACATGGCTCCTGCTCAAAGACGTGTACCAAAATGGAACCTTGGTGAATGAAACCAGCGACTATCACCTGCGTAACCCTAGCGCCATGCTGAGCCAAATGTGTTGACTTGCTGTTGAGAGACATTCTCCAGTGACGTCAATGTTGCCAGGTTGGAACATGGACAACCCAGTTTGTTTCCCGGCAATTTATCAAGGCTGCGTAGTTGGACATGGTTGCTTCACTTCCAATATTGTGGAGGATCGACTGTAACTAGACCTTATGCTCTAGATGAACCCGCCTTGAACTAGCATAGTTGGCGATTTTCCGGACATGTTTCACGAGCCCCATGAAAGTAGCCCTCCACTTTAAATGCATCTTGGATGTTTCTCGACGCTAGGCACCCTGTTAAGGCTTGTAGAAGAAGCTTGCCGGATGCCTAAGAGGAACCTCCACAGCTCCTTGACCGTAAAAGAATGTGTAGACATGATAATGTTCTCAGTAGAAAAGGGTATCTCTGCAATGCCTGCGTTAGATGCTTGTGCTCAAGGGCTGTCAAGCACATGCCAGCCTTCCATAAAGGCACCACTAATCGCCTATCATACGTCCCTGCCAATTGCTTGTGCAAGATTCCGAGTGCCACAGGCCGCACAAGTTGAGTTCGGATGGATTTAGGTGAAGAAACTAGGCGTCACCACACCTCGGTCGAAACGGGAGAAGTGAGCGTACCTATAATCTGTATGACCTCACGGCCCCGCCACCCAAAAAAGAAAAAACCGGAAAAAACAACAGATTGAATATCGTGGGGGGAAGGGAGCTTATACACGGTCTCCTGCAACACGTTAAAACTTGTCTATGCCCGCCACCACACACAAAGGTCAAAAGGCAAGGGATCATGACGGAGAGGGAGGTCGCCGGCACGCTAAGGTTCTTGGAAAGTGAGGACTGGCTGCATGGGTCAAAATATCACTCAGAGTAGTCGTGCCAAACATTTCGGAGCCCGTTTCATAATTACCAGTCATGTAAACCAAAGGAGACAGAACGACGCAAAGCAAACAAAACATCGTACAGCGTTGCCATGAACGTATGGGTTCCACTTTAGGGTATGACTTCCATCACCAAAGGGGCCGAGTGTTGCCCACCTGCATCCGGCAAAAGTCGGGACCCCGTCGCCCCTAAGGCCCCCACCGAGTCAACGACTTTCTCGAAGCCTCACGGCGACGAGTCATGGGAAGTTCTCGAAGCATCGCAGCTGGACCGAAAAGCAAAAGGGGAGCGACCAAAATTGCAGGTAAACTCCTCTGGAAGGAACCCTTAGAAGCCAAGCACAAAGCCAATCATCTATGCTCAACAGAGGGGGGCATTGGAAGGTAGGTGACCGAATGGCATCTCTTGGATTGCGATGCAATGCTACAATGATGTACTGGGCAGAGAGCACAAGATGTATACTTCACAAGAGACACAGCCGACATCCCTTGAAAATTTGGCTCTATCCCAAAGTGGAATGAATGCGCACCCTGGCAACATATAAATATTGCAGGAGTCTTAAAACCTAATTATTAACTCGGACCTCTTCACACTGATTGCGGAACTGCTGATCTGACATCAAGCAGGTTTCAGGCTGCTCTCGCATCTGCCCAACCCATTTCAGCAAAGCGAGCTGCAACTCGCGCAAAGCAATCCACTGACCAACTGCAATTACTCACTGGCTTGTGGTCGGCATGGTGGTGTTCGGGACTCCTCCTAGTGGCGACATGCTGCTTTTCTTCAATCGGGGCATGGATATTGCCGACCAACAAAACAAGGACCCAAGATGGACCAAGAGAGGCGCTTCCTGGACGCATTTCCATGTCACCCAAACACAGTCCACGGCAGCCAGCTCGGGAAAATCTGTAGGAAGTTAGCAAAACACCTCCAAAACCAAGGAGGTTTTGGGCCAACTTCCGGTAGAAGTTCTGGTTCCTGAGACACAACGTCTCGCGAGCGCAGGGAACAAACGGGTCGAGGCTTCGGCCCTGGGCTAAGAGCTTGAACTGCCGCTCGGAGGAGGTCTCCAGGAGCCACTTGCAGTAGAGATCCACCTCAGCGTCTGGTTGGTGTGCTGCTGTCACGTTGAGTTCGCCTTGTTCACCTTGGTTTGAAGGGAAATCAATTAAGATAGGAAGTCCTAAACTCTTGTTCAAGGAAAACAACTTAGGGTTCCACCGAATGCTCAAGGTTCGTATGGCCATTGGGGCTCCTGCGCGCTCCTCTGGCATGGCTCAACTACTCTTGTGTCAGCAGGATTCCCGTCACCCCATGAATGAAGAACATGGTTCATGGAAACCTCTGCTCTGTCTACAACTGCCCTAGATACTCTCCTTCAAATCAACAGACGGAAGCCCACAGAAAGGCCCAATTCCAACAAAAGACACTCCTCTAAACATTAGAAAGTCCGTGGAGGCGCCAATCCTCTTGCATTCTCAAAGTCAGCCCAGTGATACCCGGCTCTTCCCGGGTCCCTGGCGTACTCCTGGCGGTTGTCGAAGTTCACAGAAATCTCCTGCCACCGCGATGTTTTGTGGCTGCATCTGAGTGCTTGTGTACGGGTCTATGCGGGTTGGTGCGGGGGCGGGTGGCTTTAAGTGCTCGCGAAACTCAGACAAGCTCACACAGTTGGAGGCTAGCCCCAAGCACACGTTGCATGCTTTCAAACCAAGGAGACTTTCGAACATGACTCGGTCCCAAAGCAATCAAGCACTACTGCAATGGACTTGTTCCCCATCTTTGCCAGAAACTTCCCATGCCAGCCCCAAAAGTGATCTACTAACAAAACATACCCTAATACCCTCTCCCAACACAAGAAAAGACAAAGAAACCAGGCATCACTGGATTTCCCTTTGAACAGTCGTAGACTGGTGAATTCCAACCAAAATGCCGCTTTGGGAGAGGAAAAACCACCGAACATTGAGGGACCCCTAAACCCTCCCCCCCCCGAGCAAAAAGACAATAACAACACAAGACAACAAAAACATCCCCCCCCCCCTCCCTCTTCCCTCCCCCCTCCCCCCCCGCCCTCCCCCCTGGCAAAAATAGTCACAAATCGATCACACGAATGAGCCCTGTCATGTCTTGACTCCAAACCGTCGCCCCAAACGTGGCTCGCCTGCCCGTTGGGCTTCAGGTCCACCGACCGCATCTCGCCTCAGAACTCGCCGCGTGTTTTTTGTTCGCCTCACCGAGGCCTGGGTGGCCGACCCCGGCCTTGAAGAGGTTCCCTGTGTTCCCCGCAAGCAAATCGCAGCTTTTCCATGGGCCCAAGAGCTTTCGTCTAGAATCACCCCGATCACCTTTTTGAAACAAATGGGGGGTTAAACTTACTGTCGCTAGGTGTCTACCCTGCTTGCAACCACACTCAGGCAGCACAGTAGCGGGATGTCTTAGATCGAGGAAGTGTCCCTGAGGGGCGGGGGCTTGAATTACAGTTCGCACAAAGTACCTGAAGCCACCAGCTTTGGCTTTACGTGTGAATGTTGGCTTCTGAGATTGCGTGTGCTTCATGCTTGTGGTTGTTTTACAACAAAAGACCTTTTGGCTGTCGTCTCAGGTTGAAACAAACAAGCATGAAACCTGTCGTTTCGAAAGGTCACTTTTGAATTGCATGAAACGAAAGCTCTCGAAGTGCTTTTTGAGAGACATGTCCCTCATCTAGTGAAGATGCAGCTTGTAAAAGATTCAGCATGACGTGTTAAGTTCACGCTGCGGATCTGTTTGACAACGCTGACGCTCCAAGCAACACAGCTGGAAATATGTGTGCTTTTGTTTCTTCGAGTGTCCTGTATCAAGGCCACCATACTATTAACAAACATGTATTGGCTTCAGCAAGTTCAATTAGGTGGGGTTTGTAAGCCCTACGAAGCCATGCTGAACCTGGTTGGTTCCAATTTTTTTATAGTCATCGTGTGCATATGTGTGCATGTGTGTGTGTGTGTCAAAACTAGGCGTGCTAATCGCTGGCTTTCGCTTAGGTGTTCCTTCACATTTGACACCATTGAAGAGGTGCAATGCCTATCCAGAAGAAAGGATTGTTGGCTGCTCTTTGTGTGGCATCCACTACACCACGTCCCAAATTGAGTTCAAAAATGCCAATCATATTCAAGACATCTGCGCACACAAAGAGTCGTAGGCCATTCCTATTGGACAAGCAGCCGAAGTAGTCGTAGTTGGCACTGAAGGTCAAGCAAAATGTATCCTGGCCACCAAACGCAATGGAGCCGAAAGCGGAGGGGATGGAACAAAGCTTGTCCCGGTCGCAAAGCAACAATGGACCTTATTTCTCCATTATGGCATTATGTCAAAGATTCCAATGTCGTGCAAGCGTCCCATGCCCCGACACAAGAGAGCAGCAAACACTACTCGCTACCCGGGCGGTGTGATAGGTTGCAAGTCTGGAGCAAGCCCTGATGACAAGAACATGTCGTCATTTATTAAGATCTGCCGCAGGCGCACAAACAACTGCACATCGATCATTTCTTCATGGATGGACTTGTCTCAAAATTCGACAACCCCAAACAAGTGGTTGGCTTCATCTTGGTTCACCTTAGGCCTCCCCCCCAAAAAAAAACACACCCACATGCTCACGTACCTCGGGCTGAGGTTGATCGGACTAGGCAACTTCATGGGTCACTTTGGTAATGGTGACGTGGGCCAGAACAAATCCCCTGGTGGTGGCAGTGACGTTGAAATCACAGATGCCGAACAAAAAAACAGCCAACAAGCGCACAGCTATGTGGTTGCCTTCTCTCTCTCTCTCTCTCTTTCTCAACACTTAGGCTTCTGCAGCCTCGCTGAGTCGAGTCCAAACAAGCTTGGAGTTTCGGGAGGAACAACTTGAGGTCTGCTTAAAGCGTCATGCAAAACATCCGAAACGGGATAAAGGCCGCTTCTTGCACGAGGTCGGTTCTGGTTTCTTAAGGGGGATACACAAAAGGGCCCCTTTTGCACCTCCCAACCTCAAACAATCTTGCACACCCCCCAACCTTAAAATCCAAAACACAGAAATGTTCAGCCACAAAAAGTCAGGGGCTTCCTTTCAGTTAGCCCCCTTGGCTTGCAAAGCCAATCCGGGAGAGGGGACCCGGTTTACCTCATCAGTCCTCGAACTCCTGGTTGGGATTCTCTGTGGTGGGCTGCCAGGACAGCAGTTGCTGCATCGACATCCAAACCTGAACCGCGTTGCGGTGGGGTTCGAACAGAAGGGTTGCCCCCGCTCCGGGAGCCGGGCGCCCGTTTCTTTTGGAAGGTCTTACCCTCCCACTAATTGACATGGAATCTCACGTTCGGGGGGTCCGGGTTTGGCCCATTTTCCTTTCAAAGAACGTCAGGTTCCATGTGAATTGGTGGAAGCGGGCAGGAAGTCAGCAAAACCAAAGGGCTCATCCTTTTGGAACAACTCTCAAATCGCCTCCGAATGGGTCTGTCAATGGGATATGGACCACGCCAAATGGTTGTTCGGTGTCCTTCTGGCTTCCCTTTGAACAAGAAACCAACACAAAAAGGTGCCAAGACTCAACAACTACACAAAAGGAGGGAGTAGTAATTTCAAGTTAAGTTTATCATTGCCCTTCTCATGGAACTCCAAGGGGGCTGTGTCTATCCCTGGAAAAGCAAAGTCAAGGATAACCAAGGATACACCCTCAATAAGGCCTCAAGAGTTTACTAGGGAGTTGGATCCTTTCTACCTTCTCCAGTTGTTGAAAACCGGCTTGGGCTGTCAATGTTTTAGGGTTGAGCCCAACCATTCTTGTCAACCATCCTTCTTTTCCGAAATCGGGTGTTTCTATTTTGCTTCCATGCATTTCCCAGCAGCTGAAAGCTTTGGAGTCTTTGCCCATATCGGCTCTGAGCGGTTCGGAGCGGCTGCAGGATCGTGTCCACAACAGTTCCGGTGGTTGCTGTTGGGGATACTGTGGATGGACGAAATCCTGCACCACCTAAGACACCCTGGAATGATTCGATTCCCCTGTAAATGCCTGCAAACTATGCTTTCCCATGGTTTCTTAGGTGGTGCGAAGTGGACTTCGCAACCATCCACAGTATCACCGGGGCTTGCTCTTCTTGCCTTCTCGCCGGATCCCCGCCTTGGGCTTGATGTCATGCAGCTCCATCAGGGTGAGGGGCTCCCCCTTGAGCCTCTTGAAGAGGGCAAGGGGGAAGTGGATCTGGATGCCGTGCTCGTTGTTGTAGATCTCAGTCAAGCAAGTCCCACTGTCTTTTTGGGGTTCCTGGACTCACTTGGGTGGATTGGCAAGAAAAAGTCCAAGTCTGTTTGCCACCAAAACGGTCATACCAAAAAGTATCAAGTCCAGGAACTCAGCAAGTGGGTGGATAGACCATGTCTGCCCCGGTGAAGACAAGGCCAGTTCCTGAAGTGCAACCAGTCCTCTACAAGGAAAGGGAAGCGGTGGGCCGTTGCCTTGACCTTGAGCTCTCCTTGAAGCAAACCAACAGCCAAACATGGATGATGGATTGGATACACATCTGCTCTTGCTACCAACCCTCCCCCGCGACCAGCCGAGCTCGGTCGTTTTTGTCTGCACTGCTCGCAGTGCCACGCGGATGTCCAACACAGCGCCCCGTGTCCCCTCTGCATCGGCATCCAACCTGACGCACCGCAACCCTCCGCTGAACAAACTTCAAAACATGTGAGGCCCCAAAATTTAGAGGATGACGTCTAATGGTAACCAAAAGGGTTGCGGAGCCCTACGTGCAACCACCCATATGGGACCTCAAACAAGGGATTCCCAACAAGAGTGTCGTTGTGCGGTTCGATGTGAATGATCAGGGGTGTATCTTCCTTTCGGCCAGTCACAAGAAAATACTTGCTCTGAGTGCAACGTAGCCAATAGTAGTGGTGGTTAGCACAGCCACCAGAATTCAAAAACAATTGTGTTGAAGGCAAAGATCTGTCCAAAGGGTCACCCAAAAGAGTCCATCTCGAATTGACGCACAACTAGAGATTAGAGAAGATTGGCTCGTAACAAATCAAACAGAACCACGGACAGTGTGATTTGGTGAGTTTTGCCCAGTAGATTGCCCTTCCTGCTGATTGGTCCATCGAAGATGCACCCTCGAGCATGTAGGCTTTCTGGAAACGCAAAAAGGGAATGCATCCCATTCAGACTTCCGTGCGGGGAAGTTGACGAAAAGGAACCCGTAAATTTGACACAAAAGCAAGGACAAACAGGCCCATGAAAGAGGATCTCCCGGGGTGAACATGACGTTGGAACAAGCACCCCCGAAGGAACATTCTCGTGGGAGGCCAAGTTGAGGCAACAGAAAAAGGGCTGCGGCATTATTGTTGAGAATACAAATCGACCATATTCAGCACTTTGGGTCTTCTGGAGTTCCTTTCAACCTTAAAATGAGTACACTCCAAAACACGGCACGCCCAGCACAAAGGCCGATGGCCAAAACTCAGCGCCGCCTCGTCTTCTTGCGGAGTCGCCGGGTGGGCGTCAGCGGCGTAAGTGACACCGTCGCAGGAGTGAGCTGTACCGCCTCGATTTGAAGGGCCGGACGTGGCCCGTGGCAAAGCCAACTTGAAAGCGGAAACGCAAGTATTGCTGGTGCTCAGAAGGGAATGAGGCAATGACCCCTCTAAGCCATCCCATATGGTTTCCTTTAAGGGAGTCGCTGGGTTCATTCCCTCATTCCCAACTGAGCACCAGCAACCAAGGGAACCAACAGGAAATCGGAAGCCAGCCACGAGGCATTCAGTCACTAGTCTTGACACATATCCTTGCCTCGAACAATCATGGCCCCTTGAACAACAGCTGTGTCTGTTGAGGGGCAGGAGGTCCATCCTTGGATAAGAGCATCCAAGAAAAACACACAAAAGGAGGGCTCAAAACGGTCCAAGTCTAAGTACCTTTGAAGGTACTTGAACCTTCGACCCCCGTGCAATGGTGCTTCGAATACAAAGACAGACAACGCAACACAAAACGGCAATCTGACGATTCGCTCCATGGCACCGGCGTCACCGACACGATGATCAAGTCTTCCTCCTCCTCCGGCTTCTCAACCACGACCTGCGCCCATGTTGAACGTGAGCAGCGCCCGAAACCCATTGACTTTTGGCTCCAGCAACATGGCCATGGGTCAAAAGCCCGTACCCCCAGTGAACATCCCAATCCCCACTAAAATAGACTGGGTCGTGCACCTACCCCAAAATGGTACCATTGGTTTTCACAGCCACATGATTATCAAGGTTTACACAGGCTATACTGCACCCCTTTTCGGAAACCATGCAGCAGAACCAGCCACAAAAAAGGTCGATTTGGGTTTTGGGCGCTGCCCTGCCTCTAAACGCAGGGCGGTCAAATTGGACTCACCGGACATGTCGGTTATAAACCTTAGATGTATCTCTGGAGGTTGGACAATTCTTGGACTCTTTGAACAATGTGGCCATGTTTAGTGCCATAGTTGTCAGAGGGATAATACCTGCCCGCCAGACAACCAACAGCTACTTAGATGGTCTGGGACTTAGCTTGCTACGTAGTTAGTGACCTGGTCATAACTCACCCCGGGACTAAACCACTGTCATTCCCAGGCCTTCCCAACTGGGGTCGGAAGTGTCCACCCGAAACGGAAATGACATGTTTGATAGCGGTCCATATCTAGTGACCTTTCAATTGACAAATGAAAATATATTCCAGAACAAAGGCACGTGCAGGTCAAGCAACCGGATTGAAGTTGACAACATAATCAAAAGACAGGCTTGGGGTTGAAAGACCCGGAAACACCCCCACCTCCTTCTCCACCTCTGGCTCGTGCTTCCGCTTCTGCGTCCCCCGCGTCGGCTTCCGCGTCGCCCGCGTCAGCCGCGTCAGACGCTTCGCCAGCGTGGCGCGGCGTGCCTGAGGTGAAGCTCGTTTTGGGGTTCCTTTGGTTCCAGGTGCATGTTTGAAGTTTCATTTTGCTGGTTTCCTTCCAATTACTTGACGGTTCAATTTGAAACCCATAATTCATCGTTTGAGTTTCCTGGAAGCTGGCAAATGACCAATGAACCACCCACCTGCCTTTGCCCGGGTCCAAAACCCAAGGGCTGGCTGTGGGAGGTACAGGGGGTGAACTTTAATGAGGGACTCTTTGGTGGACACCGCTGTGTTCGGGCTTTACGGCCATCAACTGTCTAGGGTTCCCTGGGAAAAATCATGGGTCACATCACCCAAAGGAGAGGCACTTGACTGGATGTGAACTAGGACAAAATCCCCTCCTGTAGTTTGCTTCCGGGGATGATGGAAATTCTGGTCCACTAGTGGGCTGTTCCTTTGACTACTTTGCCAATCTAAGGGGATTCTCTTGGCATACAGGGCCAAACAGCCAACTTTCCGTGGGGGGGTGACAATTTTAGGGCCCCTCTGTGGTATCCCCTTTTAAGCGGCACCTTGTTTTTTGGCACCAAGGTCCAATAAGAGGGCCATACTTTTGACCACCCCCCATATCCATACTGTGGATGGACAAAATCCTGCACCACCTAAGACACACTGGACACTGGACTGATGTTTCCCCTGTAAATACCTGCAAAGAAAGGTTTCAACCATGGTTTCAAAGTGGTGCGAAATGGATTTCGTCCATCCACAGTGTCCCCTTTTCGGTGGCAGCTTGTGCGGCACCAAGGTCCAACAAGAGGGCCATATGTTTGACCACCTCCCCCATATTGGTATGGGTCAACATTGAACCACCAGAGGACCACAGATTGTATCCTTGTTTCCATTTACCAGGGTTCAATATTGTGTACCTATTTTTGACTCCCCCCAATACCCATAACACCCTGTCCGGCCTTGGTCGCTCTCCGCGCCATCGACACATTCGGCAGCGGGTCCGGAAGCAGCGCGAAGCTGCGGCTCCGCAGCAGCTCCTTCAACAGCTCCTCGTCACGCTTCACCTGCCAGGGAAAGGTGTATATGTATATCCCAGAGGCTCCCGATTGATTTAGGGCCTTCACCTGGCTTCGATCCCCAACCAGACAGGTCGGGTCTTCCATTAAAAGCCCCAGGAGCCTCTGGGATAATATATATATATATATGGTCACCCCCCCCTGCATGACCTACCGTTGTCTTTCAAAAAGTCGTTGGGGACCATTAGCAGACAATAAAAAAGTGAAAAAAACACCTGTTTTTTTATGGTGTTCGATTAAAAAACAACACAGTCAACCATTGAAAAATTAAGAAAAACAGTGTGTTTTGATGGTTTTAGCAAAAACATGTGCAAAAACCATGGTTTTTTTTAGAAAAACAGGAAAGCATTCAAAAAAACAAGTGTAAAAACTGATATGTTTTTCAGATAGATCCCTAAGTCAAAAACTAAGAATTCCCTGGGTTTTTGATGGTTTTGCAGTAAAACCTTCAGAATTCCTTGGGTTTTTAGCATTTTTCACATAAAACCAAGAAAACCTCGAGAAAACCAAGAATCCAAGAATCCAAGAATCCAAGATTTTCAGGTAGATGTTTGGTCCACTACAAAATCTTGGATTCTTGGTTTTCTCGAGGTTTTCTTGGTTTTCCTGGTTTTACTTTGGAATTCTTGGGTTTCCAGCAAAAAACCAAGAATTATAAGGTTTTTTTTGATTTCCAGCAAAAAACCAAGATTTACTAGGGTTTGTTTGGATTTCCAGCAAAAAACCAAGAATTACTAGGGTTTTTTGGATTTCCAGCAAAAAACCAAGATTTACTAGGGTTTTTTTGGTTTTCCAGCAAAAAACCAAGAATTCCCAAGTAAAACAAGGAAAACCAAGAAAACCTCGAGAAAACCAAGAATCCAAGATTTTGTCGTGGGCCAGACATCTACATGAAAATCTTGGATTCTTGGATTCTTGGTTTTCTCGAGGTTTTCTTGGTTTTCTTGATTTTACTTGGGAATTCTTGGATTTCCAGCAGAAAACCAAGAATTACTAGGGTGTTTTTGGATTTCCAGCAAAAACACAAGATTTACTAGTTTTTTTTTTCTCCAGCAAAAAACCAAGAATTCCCAAGTAAAACAAGGAAAACCAAGAAAACCTCGAGAAAACCAAGAATCCAAGATTTTGTCGTGGGCCAGACATCTAAAACAACAGAAATACCAGCACCAACTGAAGACGAAGAAGAACCACAAAAAGATAATTTTAAAAAATTAAAATCTTAATAATATCATATATAATTGGTATTGGTAAAAGTAAAAATAATGAAAATAATAGTTTGGAAGACAT